CCCCAAAACCCCAAAACCCCAAAACCCCAAAATTAAAGTTATGATTGAATTACAAAATATTAAGAGAATATTAGAAAATGGCACAGAGGTATAATTACAATCCTTTAGCAATTTTAAGTGTGGTGTTAGAACATTTTGAGTGGCAGGCATGAGTTAAGTTTTAAATTTGACAATTTTGGGGTTTAGGAGTAGAGATAGAAGAGTTTAGACCAATTTTAAGGGGATTTAAATGAGGATTTGATCTAGGAAGGTTTGATAATTTGCGATAAGGATTTATATTTGAAAAATAGGGATTAAATATTTTCCTGAAGCACACATTTCCTTCAATACGCTAGCAAGTGGGGTTTAAAAATATTTCGGTGCTGATATTTGGGAATAAGCCATATGTTAAAATTTAATATGTTCATAGTAATAAAAACGAATAATTATTTTCTTGACACTTTTTGAAAAATCTAGTAAATTCTAATCAGAACGGATCATTTCTATTTACAAGATTGCTAACTTTCCAACAATTTGGATTACTTTAATTATAGACTTAAGCAAGATGCCGCACAAAAGTTAATAGTTAAAAGGAACGAGATGAAGTATGATAGTGCAAAATTAGATTTATCAAGCCCTCTCCGAAATCATCTTTCTATCAAAAGTTCATGAGTAAGCCTTATTCCTTGATAAACTAGTCTCCTTCACCTGTCTCAGTTCCAAAGTCCCCATCCCCTTTTAAAAATTCTAAAATTATGAGATCCCGGAAATGTCCAAAGACAAAGTTTCAGAGTACAAAATCGGTCAGATTCTCACTCAGTCCTCAATTAACTCAGCAGAAATCTTTTAAGCTTTCTGATCCCTCAGAGTTTCTGAGGGATCCAGAGGAGAGAAGGGATTTAAAGTTCTTATATTTCTATGGAGTCTATACTGCAAGAACGGATACTTGAAATTTATATAACTCCAGGTTTTTATTGTCAAGACATAGCTTTTAGGACAACTAAATCGCGGTATGATTTTTGCACAAGAATATGAGAATAAGACTTTAGAGCAAAAATAAATATCTGAGAATAAAATCTAAGCTAAAATGCAATCTTAAACTGCTTTTAAGGGGTTTTGGGGTTTTGGGGTTTTGGGGTTTTGGGG